AGAAACGTGTGCGAGAAACGCTTGCCGCTTGGACGCCCCTTCGAAACTTGGAAATCGATAATTGCGAATCGGTTGTCCGAGCTTTCGTTCTTGCGAATCGTATCGAATTCGTTCAAATCACGAATGCCAAGAATGTTACGTGTCCTTGGAATCTCGAACAATTTGAGAAACGAACAAAGTTCCAAATCGTATCCCCGATTCGAAATTCGTAGACATCGTCTCGAAGAAATTTCTACTTTCGGGATATTTCTTAAATCTGTTCCCGACGGAACGTCGAGAGGATCCGGAGAAGAGGAGAAGTTTGGCGGGCGAGCAATTTTACTGGATGGAAACTTGCTAACCGGGAAAGGTTTCCGTTAAGAAAGTAATTAGAATGTTCTAATAACCGAAAGCAATTGCGTCTCCTTGCTTCACCGTCGCCCGGCTAGATACGTTAATTCGAGCCGATTATCATCCCTATAACCGGACAATAATTAAGCGCGGGCAACGCCACGCTCTTGCGAAGTGGTGCGGTTTTGCTCGCATACTAACCTAAATTCATGGGATGTATTTACACCCGCATACTCGCGTGCACGTCTCCAGGTCGTTTCGCCGTACTACATCTCACCCCCACTTCGCGGATTCAATTCCCCTATCTATCCTAGTTGTCCTTTCGATCCTTTAATTATTACACGACTGCCCTATCCTCGAAATCCCCTTCCCCTTGGCTCGATCAAATTTTTTTCAAAAATTCTCATTTATTCCACGATCCACGCATTGTTCTATACGCGAACAATCGATATATAAGGAGTTTGGAATTTTTTATCCATTCCGTTCATCGAATAAACGATATTTTCGCGCAACAGGTTTCTCGTCCACTTTCGATTCGAGGTTTATCGAATATTTGTATTTGAATCTTGAAAGGACGAAATACGACGTATTTATTATTATTTATTTTTTTTTTTTTTTTAACTTTTAACCCCCCCACCTATCCCTCTTTATTCCTCGATATTTCGACACTCGTTTTAACAAGAATCTTTCCCATTCGCGGTCGGAAAAATATTTTATATTTTAACGATTCGCTCTTATAGAGTAAACTCGAAGAGGCAAGAGATTTCATATTTTGCTGGGAACCTTCCAACTTTGAGTCGTGTATATAGTTTTCACGAGGAACGAACGCTTCACATTTTAGATGCGAAATATTAAATAAAACGATAAATTTAAATTTATAACCGCGTAATGGATATAATAATTGTAGAGAAAGATTAATGAAATATTTAAAAAAAAAAAAAAAATTAGACGAGTTTTAATACGTGCAAAGTTTTTTTTCTAATTAATTAGAATTCGATTATGCGATTTGCATTTGAAACTATACGCGAAATGTAGATACAATTCTCTCCGATAGCCTCTTAAGTAAAGAAATACCGGTTTTAATTCTATTCTATTAAACTATCGGTTATTTGAATCGTTAAGTATCCGTACAATTAATAGGTAAATCGATCATCGATGAGATCGGGATATCAAAAAGGGGGAATGCCGTTCGGAATGGAAGGACGAGCTATTCGACGAGAAGGTGGCTTTTAATTTAAAAAGATCAGATTAGAAAGAAACGAGTCAGCGACGACGGTATGCTTTTGAAGGGGAACGCGTAAAAGCTGTTTGATCAGAGCGGAGGCTTTTATCCGATTCTTTGCGATACTAGTTATCGGTCTCTTCATGATAGCTCGCTAATAAGACGCCCCGGGCAATCGTATCGTGGACCCCGTTACCGAATCGTTACGACGTGTACATTGCATATTCATTCGGGAGCAACTCATCCTCTAATAATTCTACGTAATTAGACGATACGAGATTAAACGAAAATATTTTATATATTTCCCTATTTCCATATATATATAAATTCGTTCGATTAATTTTTATGGGTCGAAAGTAATTTTTCTAAATCGTTAACGTTATTTCAAAACGCGAAAATGTTGACAAAAAAAATCAAACGATTCAAAAAAGAAAAAAAAAAAAAAAGAAAAAACAAAGTTAAAACAAGAAAAGAATTTCGACAAGCACGTCGACAGAGACCCCTGCGGAGTTGTAAGAAGCGCACTAGAGAATTTTCCTCGATAATCTCGACGAACCATGAAGTTCGTTTCCAAGCTTCGAAGATCGATAATCGGCGAGAGTATTTTCTCTTTAACGGTAACGAGGGGGTGCCACTCAAGGGAGAGACTTCACTTTTCAGCTTCGCCAACCTTCCTACTCTATCGAAAAGAGAGTGCGAAAAATGTTATTGGTTTCGCGTGGGAAAGCGGCTCTTCATAGAAGATCTTTCTCAATGGAGATAAGGATCGTTTCGAAAGAAAGAATCTTTGGAAAAATCGACGATTCGATTATACGAAACGAAACGGGGGAGAAGACGATTGAAATTCAATAGAATTTATCCAGTTTTCAATATTAAAATTATATGTATCAAGTTTAAGAAGATAACGCAAATTCGAATTTAGGGATAAATTGTTAGAAGATGATAGCGAAATCGATGTAGCGTAATTTGTCGAAACGCGCCTCTACAGAGGGAACGAGAATATATATGATATAACGCGAGACGAGAGAAAATGGAACCAAGTAGAAACGGTTTGAAAAAGCGCGGGAAAATGCGGCGAGTTCTACAAAAGAGTTGGAAAACACGATCGAAGCGTAAAGGTGAAGGAAGAATGGGAAAGGGTATTACCCGTAAGTTGAACTACGTTGGAAGTTGGATCGATGGGGCGGGCGAGCGGCGAAGACGAGAACTGGATCCGGGTGATCCGTCTTCGGTTTAGTATCGGCCAGTTGCCGTTAATCCGAGGTTACATCGCTGCGTAACCCTGCCATGTGTCGATCGAACGAATCCTAGGCGACAGTATACTATACACACGTATATATATATAGTTGGATATTTCGGAGTATCTGATGGCCATACGGTGAAACGATATCGTGCTCGAGGACGATAGGAGAGTTTGTTCGAGCTCGAGCGTTAAGCCGAAGAGCAACGTCTTGGCGAAGAAACGAGGTGGTGTTAGAAGAGGACGGGTAGCGATGGTGTCGGAAGGCGGACTAACGTTACCGCATCCAGAAGCGCCGCGATTTCTCACCCTTATCTTATCTGCCAACCACCGCTTCCCTCTTGCCTCCCTCCTCCTCCTCCTCCTCCTCCTCCTCCTCCTTCCGATGCCGTTTCACGCGCGACCATGCACCCTCTCCCCCCTCCTCCCATTCTCTCCAACTTTTCCAACCTTCCAGTTACAGCCAAGCCAAGAACTTCTTTACTCTCTTGATTCTCCTCGAAGGAGACCGTCAACTTTCTTTCCCTCGCTCCTTTCTCCTTCCTTCTACGAACCTCGACGACACTTAAATTCGTTCGGCGAGCTATTAATTCCACGGATTGACACGAATTTCCAACCGGTAAGTATCGCTCTTTCTCGAGTTCGTTCAGTTCCGTCCAGAGACGGAACAGTTCCGAGCCAAGCCCCTCTGTGTGTGTGTGTGTGTGTGTGTCCCTCGTTTCGTGCGAACGCCCCGAGCAAACGGAGCGAACGGACCAAGCGAAGCTTGAAAATCTGCCGTATCGATCGGCACCATTCGCGCGACTCGTTGGAATTATGGCCATCGATCGAACGGGACGAAAACGACCATCGCGACGATCAGGAAACTTCGTACGTCCGTATCCACGGCCTTCTATCCGTCTCTTTTCCGGCATCTCTCCCATCTTCCATCTTCTTCTCCTTTTTTCCTTCCTTCGTTCCGTGGGACAAACACGACTCTCTTATTTCCGCTGTCCGAAACGATCCTGGACGATCCTGGACGCTTCGCATCTCATACTACTTACGTTTCGTCGTCTCTCTCTCTCTGGCTCAAATATACGCTGTTAATCCGGAAAGAACGTAGCAAGCAAACTTCTCTAGCATCTTTTCTCTCTCTCTTTCGGTCTTAATCGTGCGGAAGCAATCCTGACGTTGAGTTTATCGACTAGAAAGTTTACATAATGCGCAAGAATCATTTATAAAGTTAACAAAAATTTCGTTACATATCTACTTATAAATAATTTAAAAATAATTAATATAATTATAAATAAGAAATGTGAACTTTAATGTTTAAATAATATATTGGAAAAATAAATTGTTTTTTTTTTTTTTTTTAGACGGAGGAAAAAAGGCAAAGAGCGATGAACGACGTGTAATCCATTGAATCAATTGGCTTAGGAACTTTTTGTTTCGATCAATTTACGGGACATGCCAGCTGTTTTGATTCCTTCTTTTCCTCTTTTTATCCTGTACCCGTACTCGATATCATTCGACGTGAACCAGTGATTTATCAATTTCAACCTAACGCCAATAGCGTTCTATGCAATCGGATAACTGTCGATTAAAAATATACTGTCGTTAATATCGACGAATCGTCTCTTCTTTTCGTTAACATTCACGTGACGAAACGTTAATCGATAACATAATCGTTTAACTGTTACGTTAGATCGAGCAAACAAGAAAATGATTTACGCTAAATTGAGATACAAGTTTAGACGTTCGATACAGTATTTGAAAAATTTCGCATCTGAAAATCGAAAGATTGTTCTAATCGACTGTACTATATCGAATGTTCGAGTTTTCGGTACTAATTCGATCAACTTTTAAATTGACATTTCGAGGTATATATACGATGCACACAAATCGATTACTTCGGTCACTTCCGCTAGAATTCTTTGTTTCGGAGAAGAAGGTGCGGTCGCCTTCCATCTTTTCCTTTATCGGTTGGTCGACACGAACTGTCTATGCACTTACCATTTTTTATTCGATGACAATGCTTGTACACGCGCGCACGCGAACCTGTCTCGCGAATAAGGGACTCGTGAAAGAACAGCCAGAGAGGGAGAAGCGGGTAGAAGTAGGTTTTGTAGACATATACAATTTGTCAAACTGCCGCTCGGCACAATGAACCGTGTATTTTCCCAGTAGATTTTCTACGACAGAATTCGGGTCATCGTTCTCGTCTCTTACCTCGTCCCTTGTTGTTGGTCGTTGTCTTCGTTGGCGTCTTAGCGGGGGCTCGACGTTTTGTTTCACCATTCTGTATCTGTCGCTGGTGCTTGTAACGTAGCAACGTTGTCGGACGGTTCGTTTGTACAGAGAGGCGCATTCGGAAATCACGATCGAGACCGAACGTTCCCCTCGTTCGTTGTAGTTTGTTCGCACGCCCGTATATTCTCGTTCGTGGTTGTACGTGAGTCAGAATACGCGTATAGATGCTAGAGAACGACCTCGTTGTGTACATGCGTTCCACGTTTCAACCCTCACCTCGTATTTACTTACTCCTCTTACGCCGCTGCTCTGCTTCGTTTACTCTTTTCGTAAATCGCGACTCGTGACTAGTCGATCGCCTCTCAATCTTCAACAATTTTCCCTGCATTCTTTCTCTCCACTTCATTCTTCGATTCGCTCTTTTCTTCCTCTTCTAAATCGATGACGGGATATTCGATTTAAAAGAAATTTTGAGAAGGTTAAGATGAAAATATTTTACGCACGTCGCACGGTCGAATGGCGTCTAATAATGGCGACGGTGTCGAGCAACGACGAGTAATAACGAACAGTGACGGATAACACCGAACCGTAGCGATTAGGAACGGAAAGAATCGGAAAAGAACGAATTAGGACGAACTGTTACGAGCGGCGACGAATGTATTCGTGATCGACCGAGAATTTCGATCGCAACTCGACTGACATTGAATAAGCTTTCTTTGTTCTATAATCAAATATCGATCGATGTATATAGAAACTGAAAGCGTAATTCGTACATAAACTATCGTGTTATCGATAATCTTATCGTGAAAACATGAAAATGGTAGCTTATCTTTTGAAATGGACAAAATAATATTCGCGAAATGGTTAATTTCATCTACTTTCTTTTTTCTCTCGATAAAATAACAATTTAAAAAAAAAAAAAAAATAATAAAATTAAATTAAACTTTTTTATCTCGAAATAAAATCAGGATGTAAATTATTTTTTTTAAATTCATTTTGTTTTTTGTTTTGATCAACGAAATTTGATCGATTCTTTATAATAATTATACGTTTCGAAAAAAAATTCTATTTGACAGTTTGTCGATATTAGCCGACAATATAAAATTAGCCAACAGATTAAACTATTTAAAGTAAAGATGATAGCATTAATACTTACACGTATTTTTATCGAATACCTATATTCGCGAACATGTTAAAATATAATAAGAATAAACGTAGAAAATGGAAGAAAGAGGAAAAGGAAATGAAAAAGAAGGCAAAGACTGGAAGGAGAGTGATTTCAGCATCCGGTGCTTTCGAAATAGAGGAGCGAAACTTAGCGCAATGGTGCGTACGTGATCTGAAAATGAAGCTTAAGCCAATGGACGACATCAGGTGGAATCGGTAGTTCTCGTGGCAACGGCAACCTATATTCGGAACGTTGGCCGTTGATATTTCTTCTTCGAGTGCAAGATATACATTCGGAGGGATACCTTCGACTTTTGACCCACAGCAGAGAAGACTCTCGTTTGTCGGCTTCGTTCCATCATCCTATCTCGAGAAGGAAACATCACTTTTGCAGAGAGACTATCGAACATTCTTTCTTTCGATCTTTTCATCCATAACTTCGCCTTCCTTTCTTTTATTCCATGCCTTTGCTTTTGCCAATAGACGTATATATACATACATCTTCTCTGTCTGTCTTTCTCACTTGGCTTGTCATGTCAAATGACTCGAACGATCGATTTTCTCGCAGATACAGGAGCGAATATCGTGGAATGCAAAACGAATCGTGGATCTTACGATCGTTCTTACGACACCTCTACCGTATTCCTTGCTTGCTTGGAAACTCTTAAGGGGAAAGTCCTTTCGAAGACGAGTTCCGACCCAAGTTTTACGGGCCAAGTTAGAATCTCAACAGAGAGGAGAACTGGCAAGGGAAGGGAAAAGGAAATGCAGTTGGGAGGGAAAGATTTCGCGGGCGCGGCCCATAACTTTGCTCGTAAATTCGATATTCAAAACAGGAAGTGAACAATGCTCTTATATACTTCCTCCACCGATGCGGTGGCGGTCCACTCGTACCGATATACTACGAGGATGTAGCTTTGCAAAAATTCCCCCGATTAAATGATTCGCATTTTACAACAACTTTTACGATTTCTCCCAACTTTTCGATCAAATTTTTAAACTCGTGTTTAGTACTCTACGATCCGACAACAACGTTTCATCATCGATTATTTCTATTTATCGGCCGTACATGCGCAATAGTGATCGCGCGTTCAATTCGCTATACCGTGACGACAAATATAACTTTGTATTTTGAAACGAATTAAAATTCAAATGATCGTACAATTGATTTTATTTGCATACTGTTGCTATTTATTAACCGAGACGCAAATCAATCAAGCTTCGTATTTTTCAACCGTGTATACGCTTTCTTCCCTATTCGTTTATCCTCTTGCATTTCCCCGGTTAATTTTCTTCAGTTCTTTTTATATCTCTCTATTCGATTATCCATGATTATTTCACAAACATGATTCGTAATTCATAGAATATACGTCATAGAATAATAATCGAATTTAGAAATTCAATTTTGAAACGAATATTTTTTTTTTTCGATAAATATTAATCAAGAAAAATATTTTCGGACAGTTTGATAAATATAAAAACAATAGTTGTTTAATATTTACAACCGAGATTTGGCTCGATTCCAACACTCGCCATTGCACCAATTTTTCGATCTGCGAAATCCACGTTTATGAGAAATCAGTGCGAGTCAAAGAATTTAGGTTGCTCCGTTTTATCGTCAGATAAACATTGCTTTATGGCTCTTTTGTAAATAGAAAAAGGGAAAAACTCACAAAACTATTGTCTTTTCCGCTTTTAAAGATATGAAAAAAGAATATGATGATAAATTATCAAATTTTCTTATTAAAAGGAATTAAAATCAATATGGGGATCAATATGGGATAAATAAATTTTATCATTGGTACTTCTTACGATTTTTCTTATAAATTATAATGATCTCGATTCAGCTGCTATCTTTCGCTTCTTGAATATCCGCGGGATTATCGTTCGCAGTGGTGATTCGGTGCATGGTTAAGCAGCGATGATAAACGAATTGTTGGCTAGGAGGATGTTGGTTAGAGGGTAAGAGAAAGAGACCGGTTGAACGATCGAGAAGAAAATGAAACGGGTGACGAGTGGCGCGGAATAGAAGGAAATACTAAAAGAAGGGATAGAGAGAAGTTTTAGAAGGAGATGGATAGATTAATGATAGAGGGGGAGGAAAAGAGAGAGAGAGAGAGAGAGAGAGAGAGAGAGGAAGGGATTGACAAGTGAAAAGGGACGGAGGAATAAGGGGAAGAGGAGTCGTTCAATTAGAGAACCCGAGCTGGCACGATCGAATGCGAGAATTCAATTTCTTCGGTCTTTCAATCATTTCGAGTGCGCCAGGTCTCTCTCAAGTTTTCTCTTCTCTTCCTCCCGCTCATTCGCTTTTATCTCGTTCCATATTCTCCCCTCGATTCTAGCCTATGACTCGCTTCGTTATCTTCTCGCGTTTGCTTTTTCTTCCGCTCAGTCCACGCTCGAGCCACGAACCAGCTTAACACGTGGAAAAACAAATTTTAAAAATCATCCCCCCTTTCTCTCCCCCTCCTCTGTCGTATGAATTTCAAATTTTTTATATATTAGCGATTTATTTGCAAATTTTTCACATCTCTCATGCATCGCGATTAAAAATAGAAGTTGTTTCAAAAGGTTTTCGAATCATTTTTTTTTTTTTTTTTTTTTTTTTTTGTTAAAATTCAAACTACGAATCCAATCTCCACTCGTGCGAGATAACTCGACTCTTCCAAAATAAATAGATACCACGACGAATCTTATCGAATCTTCGTAAATGTTGATGATTTTCTTTTTTTCTTTTTTTCTTTTTTTTTTTTTTTGCGAATTATGCGAAAATGGGGGGAAAATTTGTTTGGAAATAAAGAAATTCAAGATATATGAAAATAAAGAAATTAGAGATATATATATTTTTAAATGACCACACGTTGTAAATATTATGCTCGTTGCAACTTTATTTTTTTATCCTTGAAAAATATCTGTCCCTCCATTGGTTCTCTTCCATCTCTGTTACGAACCAAGCTCTTCGTTTCGTACTTCTTTACGCTCGCTTTGACTGAGACGCTTTGGCAAACGCATTAAAATCTCCTCGTTTTGCGACTGCTTTGATCTCGATGACAGCCGTGTATGCGCTCGCGCACAGACGTTCTAACCGCAAGAACATTTTCAACCGAAGGAATCAAAGAGAAAAGCGAAGATAGAAAACCATTGGATGAAACTTTCGTGTATTTCCTCGTTTCTTTTTTTCTTTCCTTCCTCCCTTCCTTTCTTTTCTTCTTTCTTTCTTCTTTTTTTTTCTTTCTTACGCGATAACTTTTAAAAACTGTAGGATTAGACAGTGGATGGAGTACAATATAGTAACAACGTAACGTAACAACACGGCGATAATACTTGGCGTTGGACGCATCGTTAACCGCGTATCCTTTTACCACGTAGCCGAATGTAACGACGTAATACGATTGTCGGAGAGGAGAGGTTCGCGTATCGCGTATACGGACGATAACTAAGGCGAAGAGGGGCAAAAAAGCATTAGAAATGGTGCGAGCAGTTTCGAAGGAGGAAATGATTTGGAGGTGAAGAGAGAGAATAAAATATGGGAGAAAGAAAGGGACGCGAGAGGAGTGTGCGAGTGCACAAGCATTCTATAGCTAGCTACAGCCACAGCTCATCAATCATCAGAGTTTAGAGTCGGACACGTAATTTCCGGGACGCGGGATTCGTTCGACGTTCACGTCCGTTCGAGCGAGGCTCCGATTGGCTGTTGGTAGCTAACAGGGCTATTCGATTGGTTGCTCCCTGCATCGGCATGATTTATGAGCCCTAGTGCGTTCGTTAATATGCCCGGTGATCGTTTCGAACGAGCCAACCGACCGACCAACCAGTCAACCGGCCGACCAACCAGCTAGCCCAGTGAGACAGTTCGACTGCGACGTGAGTTATATTCGACGATGGCTCCCCTATATTCCCCCAATCACCGCCTATTCTCCTTCGCTCCCTGATCGTTCGCGCTACCCATCGTCCAACCTTGTTGCTAGACACCACCAACCATCCCGCGCAATCGGATCGCGGAAATCTATTCCTCCATCCAGATTAATCCAAATTTTACCGCTCGCGCCCGATATCCTCCTCGTTCCATCGCCAATTTCAACCACGATCTTGACAAATTTTCGGTAAATAAGGTGAAAGATAGATTCATTCTTCTTGCCCATGAGCGTTGCGCGATTATTTACGAGAGATTATTACATCGTGGTGAAATGTAAATGCGTTCGTCTCTGAGGAGATTTCGATTTTTCGACCGCTCTTCGTTCGAATCGATGGTCACGCGTTAATTGTAAAACGTTATGATTATTTGGCAACGTATATCCATACTAGCGACAGTTA